ACTTAGAGACCCAAAACAGAGAAGTAAATGCAGCCGCACTGACGGCACGGCCAACCAGCAGCCTCTCTGAGCTCGCAAACCTGCCATACCCATGAAAGCAAGCCACTATCCAATAATGGCTTTACAAGTGAATAGGATCCTTAGAATAACAAACAAAAAACAACTCTAAAACAACAAAGAAAAAAGATGCTAGAAAGATGATGTACCACAGGGACAATGTGTAGCTTAAAACTTCCACTAAAGCCAAAATTCCAGCAGAGTTGGGGAGCTATAAATAATAAATAGCCTGTCTTCATACTATGCAGTACCAAACTCCACAGGAAAGCAGCAATGCCTGGGAGACATGGGATTTAGCATGCATACATCTGCAAGGTATGGCGAAAACACTGACGAGATGGCAGTACCCACTAGTTAATGAGCCCAGGATAGGGACACAGGAATAACACATTCCACCTTATTTTTCTGCTGTCCCGTCAAGGTTTGTGCAAACCCATCTAAGCTAAGAAGGCAGGATCTAAAGGTCCAGAGGAAGGCAGTCAAGACTGCTACGACTAGCCCTGTCATAGTGAGATTCAGCTCATGAAGCAGGGTCCGGCAGTGGGGGCAGTGCTAGCCAGACAAGCAGAAGATCTGAACTGCATTCCAGCCTTGGCCATAAATAATACTGTTATGACCTGGAGCAGGTCAGTTTGCCCTACTGGGTTTCCATTTGCCTGTGTACGAAAGATAGAACTGAACTTCTGGGTGAGAGGTTTGCAAGCTGTTGTGTCTAGGAGGGAGCTCCGGGTTTAGGAGTTGAGGGGGTCTCACTTAAGCCGCAGGAGCTATGCATGTCAGGTTGTATTTGATAAATGGATTCTGCTGCTTGGACTGGGGCTGTAGCTCAGAGGCAGAACACTCGGGAGCCACGCCAAGGGCCTCACACATACAAGGCCAGAACTCTACACTGAAGCTGCCCCTTGGCCCTAGTGGTTTTTTTTTTTCAACTAGTTCAGTCACCCAATCATTTTCAACACAAGTTGGACTGGCCGTTGCTCAGCTTTATCAGTTGTCCTATATGACCTTGAGCAAGTTTGTTTAGACTCTTCCCAGCTTCCACAGCCAGCAAGTTCAGATAACAGTCATATTACAAGGATTAAATGTGTGTGAGAGGCACTAACTGGCAGTGTTCCACCAATATTATCTTTTTTTTTTTTTTTTTTTGGTCAGTTGTGGGGCCTGTACTCTGGGCCTGGGCGCTGTCCCTCAGCTCTTCAGCTCAAGGCTAGCACTCTACCACTTGAGCCACAGCTCCACTTCTGACTTTTTCTGCTTATGTGGTGCTGAGGAATCGAACCCAGGGCCTCATGCATGTTGAGGCAAGCACTCTACCACTGAGCCACCTTCCCAGCCCCCACCAATATTATCTTTAAGTACTAATTGGCATGCTTTTATTATTTTATTAAACTTTTGTTGTGGCTTTTTTTCCTTGAAGATTTTTAGCAGCTTAAAGAAATGTATAGAAGTCTTTATTAAACAAAAGTACTTTGTTTCTCATTAGAGCTAGAAACGGTTGTTTATCTGCAATTTCATGTTTCCACTGGCATATGCAAGCCCCTTAACAGATGTAAATATGAACCAAACCCTATTTTCCCATGCTAGAAAATTTGAGAATTCCTTCCACTTAGCATTCATTGATTGATTGACTCTACCAATAATTGGTTACTCTTCTTTTTTTCCTGAATTCCAAAATAACAGGCCTACCAGCTGCATTATGAACGCTGCCTCCCTGCAAAGCTCTGGCTGCTGGGCCTTGTTTTCTACATGGTTAAAACTCCCCTGGATTTTATTATTTGGATAACAGCAATGTCCTAGGTTCCTACCTCCATTTTTCAAGAAAAATCAGGTTAAATTCTTTGTGGTCAGCCCTATTATGGGACAGGCCTAAGGACATGCAGCCAGTGAGAACAGAGGGAGGCTAGAATAGAACAAAACTCATGGAAAAATCTCAGGGTGGCTCTCCTGCATTGTTCTCATTGGAGATGGTAAGTTCACACCTAGGAATACAGATGAACTCTGTTTTGAGGGTATTTCATGGCAACTATTAAAATTTGTCTCTGGAGCCGGGCGCCAGTGGCTTACACCTGTAATCCTAGTTACTCAGGAGGCTGAGATCTGAGGACCACAGTTCAAAGCCAGCCCAGGCAGGAAAGGCCATGAAACTCTTTTTTTTTTGGGGGGGGGGGGGGGCAGTTGGTCACGGGACTTGAACTCAGAGCCTGGGAGCTGTCCCTCAGCTCTTCAGCTCAAGGCTAGAGCTCTACCACTTGGGCCACAGCACTACTTCCAGTTTTCTAGTGGTTTATTGGAGATAAGAACCTCACAGACTTTTCCTGCCTCGGCTGGCTTTGAAGCATGATCCTCAGATCTCAGCCTCCTGAGTATCTAGGATTACAGACGTGAGCCACCGGCACCTGGCTAGGCCATGAAACTCTTATCTCCCATAAACCACCAGAAAACTGGAAGTGGCACTATGCACAAGTGGTAGCATGCTAGCCTTGAGCTGAAAAGCTGAGGGACAGTGCTCAGGCCCAGAGTTCAAGACCCATGACCAACAAAAATTTTGTCTCTATGGTCCCACCTTAGTCACATGATTTGGAGATGAACCCAAATCTTACTCATCAAACATATAAATTTATCTTCATTTAATAATCACTTTCCAATTAAAATAGAGGGAAGGAATCTGGCCAGGCCAGTCTAAGACAGAATTGGTGGTCACTGTTTCATAACACAACAAATGCCCTTGTTTTCTGTTTTTATTCAGTAACCCAGTTCCTGTTTCCAATTATCAGGTCCCACTAATCCTCGCTCACTCCTGACCACTGAGATGCACCATTGGCAGCGGGAGTGCTCCCAGCTTATCCTAATGGATCACGAACGGCCTGCAGGATGGATAGCCCCAAAAAGAAAGCATATACAGAAAACCACTATGGTTAAAGAGAAATAAGTGGCCTTTAAGAAGAGATTTTTTTTTCCAACACATAGAATAGGCAGCCTGATGCCATAATTTTTTTTAAAAAAAGTGTTAGCCATACATGTTTGGAGATGATGAGCAGGCATCTCATCTGAAAGAGCGGAAAGCTCTAGGATGAAAACAACAAATAGCCAGACACTGGTCACTCATGGCTGTAATTCTAGCTACTCAGAAGGCACCATTTCTGGTTTTCTGGTAGTTTATTGGAGACAAGAGTCTCATGGACTTTCCTGACCAGGCTGGCTTTGTACCACGATCCTCAGATCTCAGCCTCCTAAGTAGCTAAGATTACAGGCATGAGCCACCAGCACCCAGCTCCAAATACTTTTAGAGTATAGGTCATACTTCAACCACCTGCTTACCCTAGATATAAGCATAAAAACACAGTCTGCACCTACATGCCCTCAGGTTAGAATCACATGTGTCCTTAGTGCACACAGTTGAAACTTGAGCCAAGAAACAATGACCCAAAGTCAGGCTCAATCCAAACACAGTGAAACAAAAAGCCCCAAGAAGCTGTCAGGACAATTGGTTAAAATAATAATAATAATGGATATAATGAGCCAGGCAAGGTGGCACACATCTATAATCCCAGCACTTAGGAGTCTGAGCAGCAGCATCAAGAGTTCAAGGCCAACCTGGATTACATAGTGAGACCTTATCTCAAAAGAAAACGAAGGAAGGAAGGAAGGAGGGAAGGAAGGAAAGAAGGAAAAAAAAGAAGAGAGAGAACATAAGAATTTTCTTTAGTATAGCAAGTTAAAGTAGGGAAAAATGAAGAAAAGAAATATTTCCCGCTCCTCAAGCAAGAAATGGGAATTAAAACTCCTAAATTTTTATTTTTGAAGTACTTTATTTTCATTCCTATCTATGTTCCACTTGGAAAAAGAATAGTTTATACGTTTCAATGTCACCCAGCTCACCATATAAATGTTCAGACAAGAAAATACTTGAAGAGAGCCACAGGGTATTTGTTTTGCTAGAAATAATTATGCCTAGGTATCAAGTATTCCTCTTTAAAGGCATTCATAAACCATGTCTTCTTGTTCAAGTGTCTGCCCAGCAGTTGGCATCATGGACCTGAAGCTGACATGCTGGACTGTGTGTAGTTTCTTTCCACAGGCTAGCACACCATGCATCTCCACAGTGCGGACTGTCCCTGTCTCTCTGGGTGGCAGATGCAGCTGGGGGCTGCTACATCTGCTGTGCAAGACAAAAATCTGCATTCACAATGCCCCAGGGGAGCACAGACCCTAACCCATGCCCACAGGAGAAAACCCCATGCCTGCAAGCAGAGCCTTCCTGCAGCACACCCTGGACCCCTGAGCCAATGGAATTTCAAAGAAACCCAATTGCAGAAGCCACTGAAATCTCCCACAACCCCCCATGAAAATGATCCCACATAGACACACACCAAATAATTAGCAAGATCTAGGAATCAAGATCTGGCAGGAAGCTCTTGGCTCTTATCCCAGCCTGGCCCCTGGCCCTCTGGTCTTTAACAGAACAACACAGTATCATGACATCCATCCTCACAGAACTGGGAAACTATGAGTGATTGTCACTGGGGGGTTCAGTCCTACAATCAAATGGTCCAGAAGAGAACATACATCGAAAGGCTAGACGGCTTCTGATAAATGTGTCATGTCTCCACCCTGTCTAGTTGTCAGATTTCCACCATTCAATCCTAAACCTTCAATGAGGTGGAAGGGAGCTAGAAAGTAAGAAAGGGATCGCATCAAATCCTAAGGTGACCCAAGTGGAACTCTGCATTCAAATGTGCCCCTGGTACCAGGGAAACTGTGGCTCATCCACCTTTGACTCCTAGGATGTATGGGGGTGGGGGCAGGATAGTGCATGACCGGGTCGCCATAACCAAAGGAGGGACAACAGAGAGAGAGGTCATAGAGCCCAGGCTTGTGACCTGCTGGTGTGTGCATGTCCACCTTGGCCTCCTCTATGGGCTCATTCACCTCAGGGCTGGGCATTATGGAGTCTGTGGGTTCTGGGAGCTCTCTTGGCTCTTACCGTCCTCTGCTGAGCTGCCTTCGGAGCCTGAGACAGAGGACTTGTACCCGCGAAGCGTGTGGGCATTCAGCATCTCCAGCAGCAAATCATACACTGGAACCACGTTTTTGCACTTCATGCTGAGCAGATGTTCCATGCCCTTGTTACTATGGGGACAAAAAGTACTGAGATTCCTTCTCTGCGGGTCCCCAGAACACCAAGATCTTCCCCAGCCTCTCCAGAGCCTGGCCTCCCCCCCTTCCCCACAGCCTTGTACATCCCCACTTCAGCCAGCCAGCTCCCTCACTAGTCTATGTTCAGAGGCAAAGCTGCTAGCCTGTTGACCACTATGTCCCACCACCCACCCATAATGCACAGCACCTAGCACGTAGCCCAATCTTCAGTCTATACAAACCACTGCAAACAATGAATTAACAAACACTTTATCGTGGTTCCTAGAGGAAATACACAGGTTCCTCAAGTGTCTAGTCTAGTCACCTTTTCCTCAGCTGATCAATGCATAAGATTCTTGTGTGTGTGTTTGTATAAAGACACCTTAGCTGCGTGTCAGTAGCTTATGCTTGTAATCCTAACTCAGGAGGCTGAGAGAGGAGGATCTTGGTTCAAAGCCAGCCTAGGCAGACAAGGCCACAAGACTCTTTATCATAAATGAATCCACCAAAAAGCCACAAGTGGAGTTGTGGCTCAAGCAGTAGAGCACTGACTTTGAGCAACAAAGTTTACATACAGTTTCAAGCGCTGAGCTCAAGGCCTAGAACAAGAATATACATAAACACAAAGACACACACACACATACACACACACACACACACACTGGCTCACTCACTCTCTCACATACACATACTTACAAAAGACAACTTATTTATAGGTTGTCGATGCATTCATTGAACTCACAGTGCTATAACTCATACCTGAACAAAATTCATCTAAGATACACATTTCTCCCGAAAAGCACCTCACAACTTTCTTGTGCCTAGAAACAGTGCGAAGTGCTCAGCACTGTGCTAGGAAGCTGTGTCACACAATGAAACCACCTACACACAGCACAAAAATAGAAGACCATGGCTCTCAACAGCTTGAGTAAAGCTAGTGCTTCAATCAAGGGGAGAGCTGAGCGGGAAGGTTTAGAACATCAATTTGTTCCACCTCAGCTGGAATCATGCATATTGAGCCACTCAAAAAATTTGCCACTGGGACAGGGAAGGTGGCTCAGTGGTAGAGTGCTTGCCTTGCATGCATGAGGTCCTGAGTTCGATTCCTCAGCACCACATAAGCAGAAAAAGCCATAAGTGGTGCTGTGGCTCAAGTGGTAGAGGGCTAGCCTTGAGCTGAAGAGCTGAGGGACAGTGCCCAGGCCCATAGTTCAGGTCCCACAACTGACCAAAAAAAAAAAAAAAAGCCACTTTAGCATGGCCTCGAAAGCACCAATGGTACTAATCTCAGGTTACTAATAGATTTTAGTAAATAGGTAAATTCAAACATGTGAAATGCAGGTCTGGGAATGTGGCTTAGCGTTAGAGTGTTTGCCCAGCATTCATGAAGCCCTGGGTTTGATTCCTAAATACCACATAAACAGAAAAGGCCAGAAGTAGCACTATGGCTCAAATGGTAGCTTTCAACAAAAGAAGCTCAGGGACAGTGCCCAGGCTCTGAGTTCAAGCCCAGTACTAGCAAAAGATGAAATGTACAAATACTATGACTCAACCATATCTGTCCTGCACAGAGCTATGAGCTGAGTGATCATTAATGAGAAAAAGGGACAGAGGTCTTTTTTAACTTTTTCTCCATGTTGTTGAGCTTTTTTTTTTTTTTTTGGTTAGTCGTGAGGCTTGAACTCAGAACCTGGGTGGTGCTGTCCTTGAGCTTTTCACTCAAGGCTAGTGCTCTACCACTTTGAGCCAAAGTTTTACTTCCAGTTTCAGGTGGTTAATTAAAGATAAGAGTCTCACCAACTTTCTAACCTGGGCTGGCTTTGAACTGCGATCCTCAGATCTCAGCCTCCTGAGTAGCTAGGATTACAGGATTGAGCCCCCAGTGCCCAGCCCATCTTGAACTCTTGAGGATCCCACAGCTCCTAGTCCTTCCTCCTCAGGTAAGTATACCTTCCATCCTTATCTCTCCTCTTCCAGACTCAGGGCAGAGCTACCTTCCTGGTGGCATCACACAGTGGCATCACGGAACCAGGAGCCATCACCACACCACCCCCCCACCATCAGCTCACACAGTACCATGTCCTACCCTGCCATGCATGCCACCCACAGTCCTGCTTTCCAAATCTTTTGGGAAGGTCCCTTGTTTCCCATCCTCAGTATCCTGATGTCATCAAAGAGAAAGACAACAGTGTGCTAATGGCTCAAATGCCTTTCATCTTAGCTACTCAGGAGGCTGAGATCTAAAGATCATGAGTTGAAGCCAGCCAGACAGGAGAGTTCATCAGACTCTTAGCAACAATGAACCAACAACAACAACAGAAGTGGAGCCATGGCTCAAGTGGTAGAGTGCTAGCCTTGAGTGATAAAGCTAAGGGATAGCACCCAGTCCCTGAGTTCAAGACCCAGGACTGACACTAAAGAGGAGGGGAAAGATGGGAGGGGGAGGGTGGTGTAGAGAATCAGACTTAGCCTCTTTACAAAAAATTATTTAAGACCTCAGCCCTACTTGGTATGAAGAGGGTAGTAGTCCATTTTAGGGGGAGAAACTGTCCCTTTTAGGACTCCATAAACCAGCATGAAGCCTTAGTAACCAAAAAGCAAATAAGCCCCCCACCCCCCAGGATGACATGTGAAACTACAAGGTGCCACGTGACATTCATTCACTACCTGTTATACGCTGAGCTTTGGTTACGTGTGTGTGTGTGTGTGTGTGTGTGTGTGTGTGTGTGTGTGTGTGTGTGGTGAGGACATGCCATTTCCTTCTAGGGGTTCCTTTTCCTTTAAAGATGACAAGCCTACATAACGCTATTCCCAAGGCTCAGAGCGCATGCACTGGCCCACGCAGATGGCACAGCTCTGTAGAGCTCTGTAGAGCTGTACCTCACCTACCTGATGTGCCTGACATGGGAGAGGAGCATCAGCAGGTTGGCCAGGCGGACGGACTGTTGCTGGGAGGAGATGCCGCTCTTGGCGATGACCCAGACCAGGGCATCAGTCACCGCATTCAGAAGGTGAGTCAGCTTCCGACTGCTCTCCGTCTCCTGGGAGGCTGCAGATAACGGGTACATACCTGGACAGAGAAGGAAGCCGTGGCTCTGAGGAAAGGAAGCGGGGGTCATGCGCTCATTCAGACATTCAACAAGTGCACATGCTCCTGAAAGGAGGCCACGTTGACCTGGCCCAGTGACTTGTACCTGTGTGGTGAGATCTTTTATTGGTTGTTGGTATTTTGGTGCCAGTACTAGAGCTTGAACTCAGGGCCCTGGCATTGTCCCTTAGTTAATTTTCACTCAAGGCTGATACTCTACCACTTGAGCAACAGATTCACTTCTGGTTTTTCGCTAGTTAACTGGAGATAGGAGGCTTATAGGAGGCTTTCCTGTCTTGGCTGACTTTGAACCATGATCATTGGATCTCAGCCTCCTAAGCAGTTAGGGTTACAGGTATGAGCCATCAGAATGCAGTGTGTGGTGAGACTTGTAAGGACCTGGCTTTACTTGCCCAGTGGGCTCTCTCTCCTCACCAGCCCCATCACCGAGCTTCAAGGAAAGCCTGCCAGAACGCAGGGCTCTGGAACAACCTCTCGGTATGCCCACCGCGCTACAGCTGCAGATTCACCTAGTCACCTCAAACCATTACCTGGCATTTCTCATCTGCAGCACAGAGATGGTGAGAGGGTGAGACTAGTTCTACTCTTCCTCCTGAGAAGGGCGCCTCACTAAGATTAGGGGTTTAAGAAACATACATTAATGGGAAATGTCATAAGGCCTGCCCTGCCTGTATGAATTTTACTTCCAATGTCCAGCAGCTGCAGCAGGGCCTCACCACCACCTGCTCCAGGACCTCCAAAGCTTACTTCCTTGTAGAACCTTGCTGGGCCACTATCTCTGGCTCTCTGATCCTGGATCAATGAACCAGTTCTTCTGTCTCATTTTGGCATGGAGGAAAGCTTACAAGACCATAGCTCTGTAGGTCCCCAGATACCCGACAGGTGGGCTGTCCCCCCTCAGCCCATCGGTGCTTAGTTCTTGCCTACTCTAGGAGCTGACACTCAGTGGTTGCAATATAACCAAACAGCTGAGCTCCATCGCCTCCTTTCACCCTCTGCAGGCCCAGCTCCTCCATTCCCTGAAATAATCAAAACTTTTCTTCTGAGCTTTCACTTCCCAACTAAGAACCATAAACACAGAATCAACATGGGAAGTGTGACTTGGACTGTAATAAGAAAGGAGAGGCTGGGTGTCAGAGGCTACTCAGGAGGCTGGAACCCCGAGCATCTCAATTCACAGCCAGCCCAGACAGAAAAGTTTTTCCAACTCCACCTCTAAAATAACCAGCAAAAAATCAAGACTGGAGACATGGCTCAACCAGTAGAGGACCAGCTGAGTAAGTAAGCAGCATAGAATCTAAAAAAAACAATACCAGAAGTAATCTAAATTATCCCAGGAAGAAACCGGATTGGAGAATACCCACTTTGCTGCCTACCTGTCCAATCAGGAGGAGCATGCCTGTGTTTCTGGCATTCATACACTCCTTCCATCTTCAGTGTACTAAGATGTATGCTAAAAGGCATACCTGGGGCAGGGTCAAAGGATAACACACAAAACCTCACCAATCAACACAGAGAAAGCAGCAGAATTTGGCCTCCCTCCATTCCTCCAAAAGTAGAAACGTTAATTAGGATTCATTGCAGAAAAAAATTTAAAAACTTATCATTAAACTAAAGAAATCTAGTAAAAAAAATCTTGGCATGATGCTCCACACATACCAATGAAAGTAAAATAAAATCAAGGCCGCCATCTCCCCCTGCCTTATCGCCTGGGAACAGCCCAGCTGACATTCTGAGAAGCAAAATCCTAGGACTTCTCACATCCTCGCATGTTCAAAGGATGAAGATATCAGCTCTCCTTGGCTGAAGGCAAGTAAATTAGAAGATATGCAATGTTTAATTACAATGCCAAAGTGCTGACTATAGAGAAAATTGTCAGGCTTCTGGGAGGTATATGCATGGGGTATGGGTGCTGGTCTAATGTTTGCTTTTAATCGTCCATTACTTTCATTCTTTTGAAGTCTCATGATTTTTTAGATAAATAGACCTGCTCCTACACAAACTATTTTAAAAGAGGAACGGTAATAATTTCCAGGTCGACTCCACTCTATTTTCTATACTCAGACCCCTATCTAATACTGAGAGGGTTATTCGAGTCTTGAGATTCCTGGTGACCCCTCGTGTGTGTGTGTGTGTGGGGTGTGTGTGTGTGTGTGTGTGTGTGTGTGTGTGTGTGTGTGTGTATCTAATACTGAGAGCGTTATTCGAGTCTTGAGATTCCTGGTGACCCCTCGTGTGGTGTGTGTGTGTGTGTGTGTGTGTGTGTGTGTGTGTGTGTGTGTGTGTGTGTGTGTGTGTGTGTGTGAAATTGACCCGTTGCCTTTTCTCCCAGACTAATGTGTTGGTCTGAGTGGCCTATCAAAACCTCATTATGCTGGGCACCAGTGGCTCACGCCTGTAATCCTAGCTACTCAGGAGGCTGAGATCTGAGGATCGCAGTTCAAGCCAGCCCAGGCAGGAAAGTCCATGAGACTCTTTTTTTTTAATTGTGAAAATACTGTACAGAGGGGTTACAATTACATGGGCAAGATAATGAGTACATTTCTTATCAAGCATTGTAGCCTCCTCCTTTGTTTCCCCTTCCCATCCCTTCCCATCCTCCCCCCCACACACACCCCCAGTCCATGAGACTCTTATCTCCAATTAACCACCAGAAAACTGGAAGTGGCGCTGTGGCTCAAGTGATAGAGTGCTAGCCTTGAACAAAAATGCTCAGAGACAGCACTAAGGCCCTGAGTTCGAGCCCCCCAACACACACACACACACACACATTATTGCCTGCTCTTTAATGTCCTGCAACAGTATATATGAATTTGGTGTTGATCATTCCTTCAATGTTCTTGAGCTTTGTGCTAGATTACAGTTAATATTTTTTGTTGTGGTTGGTCATGGGGCTTGAACTCTGGGCCTGGGTACTGTCCCTCAGCTCTTCAGCTCAAGGCGAGCACTCTACCACTTGAGCCACAGCACCATTTCCAGTTTTCTGGTGGTTAATCGGAGATAAGAGTCTCATGGCCTTTCCTGCCTGGGCTGGTTTTGAACCACAATTCTGAGATTTCAACCTCCTGAGTAGCTAGGATTACAGGCATGAGCCACTGGCACCTGGCTATAGTTAATATTTTTGTTGTTGTTTTTTTGTGTGTGTGTGTGTGTTTGGTTTTTTTTTGCCGGTCGTGGGGATTGAACTTTGGGCCTGAGCGCTGTGCCTCAGCTCTTCAGCTCAAGGCTAGCACTCTACCACTTGAGCTACAGCGCCACTTCCAAGCTAATATTTTTATATAATTTTCTTTTGTCAGTCTTGGGGTTTGAACTCAGGGCCTAGGCTTTGTCCCTAAGCTCTTTTGCTCAAAGCTAGCATTCTACCACCTGCGCCATAGCTCCACTTCTAGGTTTTTTGGTGCGTAATTGGAGGTAAGAGTCTCACAGACTTTCCTGTCAGGCTGGCTTCGAACTGCAGACCAAATCTCAGACTCCTGAGCAGCTAGGTTTACAGGTATGAACCACCAGCACTCAGCTGCTTAGTAATATCTTTATCCTTCATGTTTCCTTTTAAGTTTAGTAAACTAGAGTAGGAGCTATTTTACTCCCTTACTTGGTCAATTGTCTTCTGAGTCCTATACCCAATGTCCAGGGAGAGATGTTCCCTGCTCTGTTCTGCTGCTTTGTTCTCCCCCTTGAGTATCCTCGTAAGGATATTAGTGTTCTGCTAAGCCTTCCACAGATCTGCAAATCCAGATGACCTGGCTGCCCCAGACTCACAGGTCGTAGTTCAAGGAGACCAACTCCTCTGTTTCGGTTACTACTCCTCATGGTGAATTTTAGGCATCAACTTAATTAGATTAAAGGATGGATACCCCGTAGCTTGCTGGTTAAGCATTATTTCTGGGTCTGTCTGTGAGGGTGTTTCTGGAAGACACTGGCATTTGAATCACAGGTCTTAGTAAGGAGGAACTGCTCTTAACCAAAGTGGGCAGATAGCGACTAATTGGCAGAGGACCCAAACAGTCTAAAAAGAAGAAGGAAAGGTGAATTCTCCTTTCCATTTCCCTTCTTCTCCTCTCTCTCTAGGAGTGGAAATGTCCATCTTCTCCTGCCTTTGGACATCAGAACTCTAACTTCTCCAGCCTTTGGAGAAGATGTGTAATGTTTAATTAAAATGCCAGAGTGCTGACTATGGGGAAAATGTTCAGGCTTCTGAGAGGTATATGCATGGGGTATGTGTGTGTGCTGGTTTAATGTAAAATAGATCTGCCTGCGTTTAATCATCCATTACTTTCATTATTTTGAAATGCCACAATTTTTTAGATAAATAAGCCTGCTCCTACTTAAACTATTTTTTTTTTTTGTCAGTCGTGGGGCTTGAACTCTGGGCTTGGGCGCTGTCCCTGCACTCTTCAGTTCAAGGCAAGCGCTCTACTGCTTGAGCCACAGTGCCACTTCCAGTTTTCTGGTAGTTAAGAGTCTCATGGACTTTCCTGCCTGGGCTGGCTTGAACTGCGATCCTCAGATCTCAGCCTCCTGAGAACTAGGAGTACAGGCATGAGCCACCGGCACCCAGCTTTAAACTGTTTTAAGAGAGTAATGGTAATAATTTCCAGGCTGATGCCACTCTATTTTCTATACTCAGACCTCATTTCTCAAGCCTGGACCCAAGACAGAGCAGGCTGCAGCTTTTCTCTGGGTCTCTCACGCTTGGTAATCACTTGAGCCAGACTACATAATACATCCCTTCTTTTATAGCGATATCAATATCTTTCCACCTACCCATACTATTTGTTCTATTTCTCTGTAGAGTAGATAGATGCCTGGCTAATAGCCACCTGCCTAGAATCACAACCTAGAAGCTGACTCTGGACCAACAAGGCCTCACTTTGCGTCCCTCCTTTCTCAGGATCTCTGCCAAGTGTGGTTTGTCCAATGGCTGATAAACTCCATTAAGGTTTTATTTGAACTTATTAACATTGTTTCTACTGGATTTTTGTTGTTTATTTGTTATTTTTGTAATTTAGGTGCTGCAAATAATCCAGGGGGGAAAAAGGCCTGTACCTGTAAATCCTTAACATGTGTGAAAAGACTCACTTCTCCCAACAGTGAAAATGTCCCAAAGGAAACAGAATCAAAGTTTCCTCACAGCCATGTAGAACTGACATAAATCCATTTGACAACTGTTACAACTACTTACCAAGCGAGAAACTTTCTGGGAAAAAAATTGAAATTTCAGATTTACCATCAACAATTTGAGTCATTCTCTGCCACAAGTGGTAATTACATGGCATGCCCCTCTTTGCCTTCTATAATTCTCCCATGGCCACCTGGTCAGATGCCTCAGGAGGAGGCTGGAGTTTGTGTCCCTCCCATCTGTACAGATGCTGCTTTGAACATCAACAATAACATAATATGATGTCTCAGGGGCACAAATGGTTGTAAGGAGCGGGGCCAAACAGAAGGTCATAAGCAAACCACATTCCAAAAAGCACTGTGTGGTCCAGAAAGAGTTCTAACTCATTTCTGAAAGAGAAGCCTCATCCTCTAGCATTTGATAGGCTCCACTGATGAAATGAGAATGGACTTTTCAAACAATCCCTCCCTTAACAAAGACAGAAGTGGCCATGGATATACGTGAGGTCCTATCTGTATGCAGGTTGGTGACATTCTGGCTGGACATTTCCTATATGTGTATCAACTTACTCAGCCATGCAAGGTGAGCCATTTTATTATTTTTTAAATGCTGAGGGGTGATAATAAATGGGGTGCGGTGTTGTTGGTCACAAGGTGAATGTAGTATTAGGCAGGTAAGGCCAGACGGAGACCCAATTAGGAAATACCCAAAGGTTGTTGTGGAAGTCTCTGAATCTTCACATGACCTTTAGATTCTTTCTTCATTCTTCCTCACCTCTCTCCTTCAAGGCTTAATCACGCCTTCCACCCACTCATCTCCTGAGCAGCACCAGCTCTGTCCACAGTTGCTCAGATCCACCAAGAGAGAATGGGAGCCTAGTATAAGCATTTGGCCTATGGCAAGTGAGAGAATAACTTTGCATACACTGAAGGTGATAATAATACACTAGTATGATAAGCTACAGTTTTCACTTTTCATTTTGCAGTCCAGTTATTGCTATTATATTTTATTAAAATGCTTATCTTTGGTAGACTTGGGAGAGAATGATGAAAAGGGTGAATTGATCAAGATGCATTGTATTCATAATCTGATTAAGGGAATTGAAATCCCTTTGTACCTAATTAGAAAAAAAATTAAATAAAAAAACCCACTCATTGTGCTCATAAAGACAATAAAATTTGAATGTATATGTAGCTCAGTGGTGGAGCTTTTACCCATTTGGCTCTGGGTTTAATCCCCAGCTATGAAAAAACATAATGTAATATAAAATAATGGCTGCATTTGTATCAACACATGCAGACTTTTGTTATTGCTCTGTAAACTATATAGTATAACAAATATGTACAAAGCATTCACATGGTTAGGTATGGTAAGGAATCTTAAAATAATTTAAAATCAAGGCCTCAAAAGGTAGATCAGCAGACTTGCCATCTGAGGCCAACTTGGGTGAAAAAAATTAGCCACATCTCATCTTAGCTGGATTCTGGTGGCTCAGACCTGAAATCTTAGCTATTAGGAAACTGAGATCCGAGGATCATGGTTTTAAGCTGGCCCAGATAGACAAATACTGAGAATCTTTTTCTTTTGGAGGGGGGAGTCAGTCATGGGGCTTGAACTCAAGGCCTGGTTGCTATACCTGAGCTATTTGCTCAAGGCTAGCACACTATTACTCTGAGCCACAGCTCCACTTCCAGTTTTCTGGGGGTAATTGAAGATAAGAGTCTCACAGACTTTCTTGCCCCAGCTGGCTTCAAACTATGATCCTCACATCTCAGCCTCCTGAGTAGCTAGAATTATAGGTGTCAGCCACCTGCACCAGGCTAAGATACTCTTATCTCCAAATAACCAACAAAAAGCCAAAAGTGGAAGTGTAACTCAAGTGGTAAAGCACCAGCCTTGAGTAAAAAAGCCAAGTAAGAGTATAAAGCCTTGAAGTCAAGCCTCAGTAACAGCAAAGAAAACCAAATACCACCCCCCCAACACACACACACACACACAATCTATAGCTCAATAAAACAAACCAGAAGTAGTAGGTCATGACTACAATCCCAGTAACTCAGGAGGAATAAGTAAAAAGAACATAGTCTGTGGGTAGCCCAAGACCTATCTGAAAAATAAAGCCATTTGGGATATGACACACATGGTAAAGTTGCCTAGCAAGAGCAAGGCCCTGAGTTCCAATTCCAGTACCACCAAAATGAGTCAATGAATGTGTAAATACATAAATAAGAAGATATACCTAGATTATATGCAAATGCCCCAAAATTTTATATGGACTTGAGCTTCCACAGATTGAGGTATCCATGGAGAGTGCTAGAACCAACACTCTATAAGTACTAAGGAACAACTCGTGTGTGTGTGTGTGTGTGTGTGTGTGTAGAGAGAGAGAGAGAGAGAGAACGTCTAATTGGCCATCTTTAAGAGGGGTACTTGTATTACTGGCAATTCTTATTATCTTCCTTACATAGTTTTCTTTTGTTTGAATGTTCACAAAATATTGTGATATAAGAAGAAAAAACCAGCCAGACGCCAGTGGCTCCTGCCACTGTCAAGTTGCTGTGGTCCTGTGTACAAAGCAGTCATCCACGCACCCTCACCACTGCATCCACCCACTCCACTCTTCCTCAAAGACTCCTTCAAACACCTTCCCCTTTCACAGCCTTTCCTCCTGTGCTACTCTAGCACTCTGTGTACACTTCCATACAAGATGGGATCCTAGTTATTTTTTCATTCCTCTCTCTCCCTCCTTCTTTCTCTCCCCCCCCCCCCTTCCCCTCTCTATACTATGAGCTATTTAAGGACAAGACTGTTTTGTCCTTATATATATATTTTTTTTGGTCAGTCCTGGGGCTTGAACTCAGGATCTGGGCACTGTCCCTGAGCTTTCATATTCAAGGCTAGTGCCCTACCACCTGAGCCAAAGCCCCACTTTAGGTTTTCTGGTGGTTAATTGGCGATAAGAGGCACACAGACTTTCTTGCCCAGGCTGGAGTTGAACTGCGATCCTCAGATCTCAGCCTCCTGACTAGCTAGGATTACAGGCATGAGCCACCAGAGCCTGGCTTGTCCTTATCTTTAATGAATGAATGAATCTGTGAAAGTAGAACTCAAAATAAGAAATATAGATACATGACAACCCTGTAAAATATGTAAGCTTTGAAAAAAATTGAAGGCTAAACACTAATTTTGTTCTTTTCAAGCTTCAATAACTCTTTAACTTGATTGCCAGTAGCTCACCCAATGAATAATTCATAATTGGTACCAAAAGTTAAATACTGCTTAAATCCCTACAAAAATAAAAATAAAAACAAAGAAGTCAGAAAGGAAGCCATTATCCTCTGATCAAACAACACAGACATTCAATACTCTTTTCACACTGTGCCAGCTTGAGGAAGAGTCTCTCCCTCATGGAGTATGGCTGGGCTGTGTGGATACTTACTGGAGTTGAGGAGGATCATGGCCTTGACACAGAGATACTCTTTGTGCTGGAGTTTTAACTCACGAAACCTTGAAGTTGTTGCCAGGAGCATGTCAAAGATTTCCAGAATTCCTTCTACGCACTTCCCCTCATCCCTACAAAAGTTCATTTGGGAATTTAAGGAACACACAGCATCAGACAACTATAAAAGAATAAGGATAACTTTTTAAATCTCCAATTTCATTTTAACATCCTTTATGTTAATAAGACCACATCTAGCAATATAAAATTACTAGAATTGTCTTCCTATAAAGTAGACATGATATCAGGCACCAGTAGCTCATATCTGTAATCAGCTACTCAGGAGATCTAAGGATTGTGGTTTAAAGTCTGGGCAAACAAATCCATGAAATTCTTACCTCCAACCAGCCAGCCAAAAGCTAGAACTAGAGGCCTGGCTCAAGTGATAGGGCACCAACTGTGAGTGAAAAAGTTGGGTGAGAACATGAAATTCTGTTTTCAAACCCCAGTACCTGTGTGTGTGTGTGTGTGTGTGTGTGTGTGTGTGTGTGTGTGTGTGTGTGTGTATGTGTGCACAGAGGACGAGGTATTCGTGTGTAGCCCAGTGACACAGTGGTAGAGCCTTGCTTGTATATATGATGAGATCCAAGTTCAATTCTCAAGATTGGAAAAGAGAAAAAAAACACATAGAAACAGAGACACTGTGAATTTCCTATAAATCCTACACATTCAAATCAATGTCCACTTAGGAAAAGTAAAGATTGTGTCAGCATTTTTCCTTCTACAGATTCACTAAATGATTTCCTTTTTTTTATGGTTGCTATTGTTTGATTTGTGTTTAACTGTGCCATTACTAAGGGGTTGAACTCAGGGCCTGGAACTCACCCTTAGCTTTTTCACTTAAGGTTAGCACTCTACCACTTAAGTCACAATACCACTTAGAACTGATTGGAGATAAAACTGTCTCTGACTTTCCTGCCTAGTCTGTCTTTGAGCTTTGAACCACAGTCCTCAGATTTCAGCATTCTGAGTAGCTAGGTTTACAGGTGTGAGCCATCAGTACCCGATACCAAATTATTTCTCCTTCCCCACCCCCTCCTTCCTTTTTTGGTTCCAGCCCTGGGGCTTGAACTCAGGGTCTGGGCACTGTCCTTGAACTATTTTTGCTCAAGGCTAGTGCTCTACCACGTGAAATACAGCTCCACTTCCAGCTTTTTGATGACTAATTGAAGATAAAAGTCTTCTGGACTTTCTTGTCCCAGATGGCTTTGAACTTCAATCCTCAGATCTCAGCCCCCTGAGTAACTAGGATTACAGGCATGAGCCACTGGTGCCCAGCACCAATTTTTTTTTTTTTTTTTTGTCAGTCATGGGCCTGAACTCTGGGCCTGGGCACTGTCCCTTCGCTCTTCAGCTCAAGGCTAGCACTCTACCACTTGAGCCATAGTGCCACTTTCGGGTTTTTCTGCTTATGTGGTGCTTAGGAATCAAACTCAGGGCCTCATGCATGCAAGGTAAGCACTCTACCACTGTGCCACCTTCCCAGCCCCAAATATTTTCTTAAAGGGATAGAACTACTACTGATAATTTTTCAATCTTAGTCAAACAGCCATAGCTAGAAATGCCACATGTTATGAAAAGATGTTCCCTCTTATTCTTGGGAAATCTTGAACCTTCATATCTAGCAAGGGTTTCCAGCACCACCACTTCTTAGTGGTCCTTTAACAGGATAGCAACTAAGAGACATTTTAAATGCAAGTTGAAATGAACAAAAACAACACAAAGACATCACAACTGAAGACAAATTTAGAGTCAGGAGAGTCAGCAATGAGGATGTGGAAATTACTGACATGATTATTTTGAAGCAAATTTTCAGACAAACTTCAAACTGTATAATCAAAACTCTTTGAGCAGTCCTTACAGAAATGAAATTTTAAATATACCTTGGAAGTAAATCATTATACTTCAAAAAATCCTGGCTTTTATTCACCCATTATTCCACTTCGGTGCTCTCTAGAAAATCTTGTGTTATGCTGGGTACCAGAGCTACTGAAAATATATGACTAGTAGTTCTCTTGTTTTTAACCCCTGAGTGCTGCATCATACAGTGAAGGGTGCTATGATTGCATGGGTGTCTCTGAGTTTTGAGTCTCTGTAATAGACTCTGAAGGGGACTTGAGGTCCTCAAAGGGCTGAATGCTCCCCACCTGACTGCAGTACCCTCAAACAAGGACATTTTATTTTCTTTTTCTTTTTTTGTCAGTAATGGGGATTGAACTTGGGGCTGGGCGCTGTCCCTGAGCTCTTTTGCTAAAGGCTAGCACTCTATTACTTTGAGCCACAATTCTACTTCTGGTTTTCTGGTGGTTAATTGGAGATAAAGGTCTTGTGAGATTTCCTATGCAGGCTGACCTTGAACTGTGATCCTCAGATCTCAGCCTCCTGAGGAGCTAGGATTACAGACATGAGCTACCAGTACCTGGCAAGCAAGAACATTTCTAATAATCAAAGTATTGGGTCAAATTCTAATGAACTGACACTACTGGGTCCCACCAATCCTTGCAAAGCCCACTGATTAATTAAGTGGTCAGCTAGGCTGGCAACCCACAGACTAACCTAGACCATGCTTCAAACATATAAATTGCTTACTCTGACAAATTAGCATGGTAATGTCTGCAAAGAATAACAGCTACAATGACAAAACACGTGTCTCTTGGAAAGGCCACCTTGAATAATCAAAGTTCTGAGCAAAGAGTAACAGAATTTTAAAGTCCAAAGAACATAATAATACAAAACTCTTAATTCTACTCTCATTCCTACCTTCCCAACTCCCCAGAACTGGGTTCTGAAAAGACACCAGGCACTGCATATGGCAAGAGCCCAAGAAACACTTGTTCATGAATGCCCCTCCTGCCACATCATCCTGTCATTCTGCCTTGGACAGTTATTAGAAAGTGTAGTGCGGAGTTCAAAGACATTTAATGCTGAGAAAAGCTGATTTTTTAATATCACCTAAGGAGGCCTGATTTAATGATGCATGCCTGTAATCGTACACTCAGGAGGCTGAGGCATGAAAAAGAAGGCCAACCTTAGCATTATAATAAGTACATAGCCAGTCTGGAATATGTAGTGAGATCCTGTCTCAAGGGGGCAAAATCTCTTATGGACAAAAATCAAAATAAAGTTCATAAGCTCTTTTTTTTCTCCTGGTATAGAACTTGAACTCAGTATTTCAAGCTCTTGTTTGGCTTTTTTACTCAAAGCTGGTGCTCTACCATTGAGCCAAACCTTCACTTCCAGCTTTTTGCTGACTAAATGGAGATAAAAATTTCACAGACTTTTCTCCCCAGATTGGCTTCAAACTGAGATCCTCCATTCTCAGCCTCCTGAGTGGCTAGGATATCTGGTATGAGCCACTAGCGCTAGGTCACATATGACACTTTTGCACAAGTAGAAGTCCAGATTTTATAGTACATCTTGATATGAATTTAGAATTCTAGTGGTCTCTAAAAGAACTACCTTGCCACAAATAAGAGGAGCTATTGGCCAAGTACCAGTGGCTCATGCCTGTAATCCTAGCTTCTCAACAGGCTGAGATCTGAGGGTCACAGTTGAAAGCCAGCCCAGGCAGGAAAGTTCAGAAAACTCTTTTCTCCAGTTAAGCAATACAAGAAAGAAGAAAGGAGGGAAGAAAGAAAGGAAGGAAGGAAGGAAGGAAGGAAGGAAGGAAGGAAGGAAGGAAGGAAGGAAGGAAGGAAGGAAGGAAGGAAGGAAGGAAGGGAGAGAGGGAAAAGAGATAACCTGGGTTTTTTTTCCCTCATCATTTTTTTTTCTTGCTGGTCCTGGAACTGGAACTCAGGGCCCTGGGCTCTGTCCCTGAGCCTCTCTGTGCTTGAGGCTAGCGCTCTACCACTCAAGCCACAGAGCCCACTTACAGCTTTTTCTGTTTATGTGGTACTGAGGAATTGAACCCAGGACCTCATGCATTCAGGCAAGCACTCTACCACTAAGCCACATTCCCAGTCTTCTCTCAGCTTTAATAGATTCTGGAGTTTGGTTAGTGTTGGTAGGTAAGGATGGGTTTTATTTGTTATTGTTTTTTGCTGAATAAAGGGAAACAGAATTTATAGTCTCAAGAACTCACAAATGGGCTTAGTTGAATCAGTTATATTTGTTGCTGATATAGTCACTCTACCACTTGAAAGAACTGGAGGAGGGTAATCCAGCAAAAGAGTCAGTTTTCAAGTATTCACTTTGCAAGAAAAGATTTATAATAGAATTCCTTTATGAAGAATGGTCCCCAGACCTTTGAATAACTAACTCACTCTTCTAAAATTATGCCTAGGGCTGGGAAGGTGGCTCAGTGGTAGAGTGCTTGCCTTGCATGCATGAGGCCCTAGGTTCGATTCCTCAGCACCACATAAGCAAAAAGAAAAAAGCCAGAAGTGGCGCTGTGGCTCAAGTGGTAGAGCGCTAGCCTTGAGCTGAAGAGCTGAGGGACAGCACCCAGGCCCAGAGTTCAGGCCCACGACCGGACCAAAAAAAATAAATAAATAAAATAAAATAAAATAAAATCATGCCTATTACAGCCTAGCTGCTGGTAGCTCACGCTTATAATTCTAGCTACTCAGAGGCTGAGATCTGAGGATCATGTTTTGAGAACATCCTGGGAAGGAAAATCTGTGAGACTCTCATTACCAATTAAGCAGCAGAAGCTAGAAGTAGAGTTGTGGTTCAAGTGATACAACACTAGAAAAAAATTCTAAGTGACTGCTTTCAGTCTCTGAGCTCAAGCCCTAGTACTAGCATACACAAAAAAAACTGAATGAATAAAGGACTGAGAGCAATACTTGCCTGGGTACTAAAGTTTTAATCTTGTTTGTACCATGGTACCCAGAGATGACAACAGGTAGAGTAGGTTTCTGAAGTAGGCAGAAATAGAATAGAGTTGTTGTATGACAAAAGAATAAAGTAGAAGATTCCTCTGCTCTATGGCTTGTTTCCTCTAGTTCTCCCTCCTGCTGAGTGGCAGTAAATGATTGCCATTAGGAGCTTGGATTTGTCAGGCACCAGTGGCTCATGCCTGTAATCCCAGCTACTCAGAAGGCTGACATCTGAGGATCATGTGTGGTTCCAAGTCAGTCTGGGCAGGAAAGTCTGTGAGATTTGTATCTCCAATTAACCACCAAAATGCTGGAAGTGGAACTGTTGCTCAAGTGGTAGAGTGCCAGCCTTGAACACAAAAGCTCAGGGACAGCACTCAGGCCCTAAATTCAAGCCCCAGGATACACACCACACACACACACACACACACACACACACACACACACACACACACACACACACACGTGTAGACTTCATAAACCAATCCTCAAATCCTGTTCCTCCACTTACTACTCTCCACTAACTGTCATCGACTTACTTAACCTGCCATTTTCACAGCGGAAAAGCTAAGATAGGAATGGCACTCACCCCCCAAGGGTTGCTGTGGAGATTAAACCAGTCAACATACGTCAAGTGCTCAGGATGGCACCTGGCCCATACAAGTCAGCATGTTAGCTAGTTGGATTGCCACTCCAGGGTCTGCTGCCCCACCCTGCTCTGGGCTTCCACAACTTCCCTCTAGGGTTCACCACCTGGGCTGCTCCTGCTCAAGCCACATCCCAGGCTCCAGCTCTTCCCACAGGCTGTGTTCTCCACCAAAACACCTCCATTAGTCAGAACAGTGCTCTTTGTCAATGCCCTCCATGGCAACAGGCAGAATGGATGCTGATACCTTGGGGCATCACTCTTCATCTGTGTAACGTGCGAATGAGGGTCTTCGGGTGACCTAAAGTGGTAACAGGATTATGATGCGAGAGTTGGGGCAGGCACTTCTGGTTCACCAGGTATCTCCCTACCCTCTACACACAGCCAAATGTGGCCCACCACTCAACACTACCACGTTCTCAGTGTACAAGGAAGTCAAAACCATCTTCCATGGAGATTTTTCAACTGTTTAAATGATATACTAAGGATTTTCCCATTTTTCTTGGGGGAAAAAAAACTTGAATGGTGTACATTCTAGTTTTTTTTTTTTTTTCCTCCAGAAACAGTTTAGATGAATCAATGAAAATTTGTTCTACTGGGCACTTGTGGCTCATGACTGTAATCCTAGCTACTCAAGAGGCTGAGATCTTAGGATCATGGTTCAAAGCCAGCCCAGGCAGGAAAGTCTGTGAGAATCTTATCTCTAATTAACCACCCCTAGAAGTGAAGCTGTGGCTCCACTAGTAGAGCACTAGCCTTGAGCAAAAAAGCTAAGTGACAGTACCCAGGCTGTGAGTTCAAGCTCCAGTATCATCTTTAAAAGAAAATTAAATGTGGGCTGGGAAGGTGGCTCAGTGGTAGAGCGTTTGCCTTGCATGCTCAAGGCCCTGGGTTCAATTCTTCAGCACCACATAAGCAAAAAGAAAAAAGACGGAAGTGGTGCTGTTGCTCAAGTGGTAGAGCGCTAGCCTTGAGCTGAAGAGCTGAGGGACTGTGCTCAGGCCCAGAGTTCAGGCCCCATGACCGGACCCCCAAAAAAAAAAAAAAAAAAGAGAAAAGAAAAAAGAAAATTAAATGTAACCAAGATACAACATTGGCAATGTCATGTCCCCATATCTATTCATCTAGTGCTCATAACTAGACTTTCCACTGCTATTTTCAAAAATACTCTTCTAGTACATTCTTTAGAGAGCATTAAAGCACATGAGAACCAATTTGGAAGGTTTGTAAGAATTTTATCACCTATCTAGATAGCTGGAGATGTACTTGATCACTTTAGGTGGAGAAAACAGCAGGACAATTTAGGATTGATAACTTGAAAGTAGAATTTGGAATGCAGGTCACCAGTGGTCACTGGCCATATAGCCGCCACATTTCCTGCAGGACTCCATCCCCTGTGGTGACCCTGGCCTCTGAATGCTGCTATTTTCCACTGCTTAGAAACAAATCCCTGTGCATACACTCAGCCCTTGTACATAGATCCTCTTCTTGAATTCTCAACTCGGTGAAGTAGTGGGTGACATTATCGCTCTCTAATTGTCCTCTCAAGGTGATGCTGTCATTGCTGCACCTAGGACTTTGTTCCCACTCACTAAGCACTTTACACAAACAAGGTGGAGAGGAAACACATGTGGTTTGGTTTGGTTTTTCCTCACCTGTCCAGAACAAGGTCTGGAGCAAAGATGAGCTTCCCAGGGTGATCAATCGAGCGCCACATCAGCCCCACCATCAACACCTCCATCCAGCAGCTCTCCAAGAGCCTCACTTGGTCCAACAGGCTGAGCTCCACAAAGCCTGGGGAAAGCAAGAGGCCATGAGACATACCCACCCTCCTCCTCCTCCTCGGCAACCTGTTTCTTTTCTTCTCTTCTCTTTTCTTTTATTAATTGGTCCTAGGGCTTGAACTTGGCCTGGGTGCTGTCCCTGAGCTTTTCTGCTCAAGGCTAGCATACTACTACTTTGAACCACACCACCACTTCCGGTGATTAATTGGAGATGAATCTCGTGGAAGGGCTGGGAATGTGGCTTAGTGGTAGAGTGCTTGCTTAGCATACATGAAGTCCTGGGTTTGATTCCTCAGTAGCAGCACATAAACAGGAAAAGCTGGAAGTAGTTCTGTGGCTCAAGTTGTAGAGTGCTAGCCTTGAGCAAAAGAAGCTCAGGAACAGTGTCTGGGCCCTGAGTTCAAGCCCCAGGACTGGCAAAGACAGAGAGAGAGAGAGAGAGAGAGAGAGAGAGAGAGAGAGAGAGAGAGAGAGAGTCTTTCCTGCCAGAGTTAGTTTCAAACCGTGATCCTCAGATCTCAGTCTCCTGAGTAGCTAGGATTACAGATGTGAGCCACCAGTGCCTGGCTCAACAACCTGTTTCTGTAAAGACAGAATAGCAAGTTTTTAAAAGCTAAGAGGACATAAACAATATAAGGAAATAATCACTCTCTCAAAGATGTGATTAAATGCCAGTAAAATGAAGAAAAACTTGAACTAAAGGTAAGCAACTTGCAGCTTCTGGTCTTGAATCCCTCCTAGAGACAAATAAACTTCATATGGTTGTTATTTTAAAATCAAAAACAAAAACAGCTTCCCAGACAGATGCTAGATGACAATGGAAGGTCTGATCTGATAGCTGTTCTGTCCTGGTAATTTCTGAGCACTGCTAAGAAACCCAGATCTTGGCTGGTGGTCAGAAGAGCTTCCAGTTCCACCCATCCATATGTGGGAAGCGGAGGGGGGCGTGGCTGCAGGTGACTGGAGTGGGTAGAGGCTGGGAGTGAAAGCCATGGAGAGTAGGGCCAGAGTCAGCAGAAAGTCAAAGCTTCAACTCAAATGGCTTCTCTGATTGCTTGACATTTCTAAGCCAAAGTCAGGATCATTCTGAGCAGGAGTACTCTCAGGGTGATTTCACCCTAAAGAGCAAATATAACCACTACTCTAATAGCCTGCACTGGTGGCACAATTGGAAAGAGACAGGTCATCTCCAGAGAAGTGAGGTTTTTGCTTTTGTTTTTTAAAGCAAGAGCATCTTCTATAAGCTATGATAAAAGCAAGGAGTGGTGAAATATAAATATACAGGCACCAAAGGCACATCGTTGGAATGAAATAGACCCTGGTTTGAGCACCTGTCAGTCAGCTCAGTCCCTTCCTAGCTAATGATTTAAGCTCCTGTTAAGTCTGCTTTTCTCACAGAAAAAATTGGTGACAATTTTATCTACCTCTAAGGGTTCTCTACAGGTAGAATCTCAATCATTTTACCATAAAGAAACTATGGTACAGAGACCACACACATGGTTGAAAGCTTTGAGCAATTATACTGTAAATCCAAACAAAGGACAATTTAAGAAAGTAATGAATGTGAAGATTGGGCAAATGCTTTCCAAAACCACTTGCATGTGCTTAGTTCAAGTTCCTGAGAGATGTCCACATTCCCATCTTACCCACAGTTGCAGACAATAAGCCCACCCCACAAAGATCAGTCAGTCCTCCCTCCCTCCCTCCCTCCTTCCCTCCCTTCCTTCCTGGCCTTGAACTCAGGGCCTGAGGGCTGTTCCTTAACTTTTTTACTCAAGGCTGGTACTCTACTACTTGAACTATACTTCTACTTCTGATTTTTTGGCGGTTGATTGGAGGTGAGTCTCACCAACTTTCCTGCCTGGGTTGGCTTTGAATCATGATTCTCAGATCTCAGCTTCCTAAGTTGTAAGGATTACAGGTGTGAGCCATCAGGTCCTAGCAAACTTTTAGTTTTTTTGTTTGTTTTTTGGTTTTTGGTTTTGTTTTTGTCTGTCATGCGGCCTGAAGTCTGGGCCTGGGCACTGTCCCTCAACTCTTTAGCTCAAGGTGAGCGCTCTACCACTTGAGCCACAGAGCCACTTCCAGTTTTCTGGTGGTTTAATGGAGAAAAGAGTATCATGGACTTTCATGCCGAGGCTGACTTTCAACCATGATCTTCAGATCTCAACCTCCTGAGTAGCTAGGTGTGAGCCACCGGCACCTGGCTAGCTTTTAATTTCTATAGGTACCCAAAAAGCTCAAGGCTAGATGTTATTTAATATTGTTTTGGCTTGGAAAATGGCCAGGCCAGATAAAGGAGAAGGGATCACAAGCAAAGACTGTGCCCAAGTTTTCTGTAAAAAGGTGAAAAGCACTAGATTTGAAAAAGTATTAATCAGCTTAAAAGTTCAGTTTTGCTAGGACACAAGCTGTACAGTTTTCAGGAATAATCTCACCACATGGGATGTTGCCAAATATTGTTAGGAATATACTTATATCAGAGACTAGAGGAAAAATGCATAGAAACAGCAAAGAAAATAAAGTCATTTTGCCAAAGGAGAACATGATAGACAAGACAAAACAAAGCCAGAAAACAGCAGTTTCCCAGCTCAGCAGGAATGAATGAGTCTAGGCCAATCAATGACCCTATCACCCCAGGTCTTGGTATCCACAGCTCTTACCACAGGTGCCCTTTACCAGCTTCTCAGCCTCACTCAGTTTTTACAGTTTGCCTATTGCAGCTGCTGCCCCAGGCCATGACAGCATCCCCCTGATTCAGAACCTGAGACAGATTTCATTCCTTCAGTGTACAGAATTGGAGGCAGGCACTGCGAGCTCATGCCTGTATGCCTAGCTATTCAGCAGGCTGAGATCTGAGGATCTTGGTCCAAAGCCAGCCTGGAAAGGAAAGTCTGTGAGACTAATCTCCAATTAACCACCAAAAAGCCAGAAGTGGAGCTGTGGTTCATGTGGTAGAGCGCTAGCCTAAAGCACACAATCTCTGGGACAGTGCAGCGCCAAAGTCTTAGGACCACCACAAGAGAGAGAGAGAGAGGGTAGGGGGAGAGAAAGAACTGTGTGTGTCAGAGCTTCCTGCCTAGGCTGGCTTGTGATTTATTTTATTTTTTGCCAGTTCTGAGGCTTGCCTGGGTGCCTGGAAGCTATCTCTGAGCTTTTTTTGCTCAAGGCTAGTGCTCTACCACTTGGGTCACAGCCATATTTCCAATTTTTTGTTTTTTGTTTTTGTACTTTATTGGAGATAAGAGTCTCATAGACTTTCCTTCCCCAGGCTGGCTTTGAGCCATGATCCTCAAATCTCAGCCACTTGAGGAGCTAAGATTACAATGTGAGCCACTGGCACCAGTCTGATTTTCTTTTTTGGCAGGGGGGCGGGTGTTCGGTCCTAGGTCTTGAACTCTGGGCCTGGGTGCTCTCCCTCAGCTCTTCAGCTCAAGGCTAGCGCTCTACCACTTGAGCCACAGCGCCACTTCTGGTTTTCTGATGGTTATTTGGAGATAAGAGTCTCACAGACTTTCCTGCCTGGACTGGCTTTGAACAGTGATCCTCAGATCTCAGCCTCTTGAGTAGCTGGGATTATACCCAGCCTGATTTTTGTTTAATAATACAGTATCTTACAAATTTATATTTAGCATCTGACAAACCTTTCATTCAATTTCATAATTGCCATATATCCTATACCCCACCCCAACCTGACCAAACTCCCCTTTTCTTTTTTTCTTTTTTCTTTGCCGGTCCTGGGGCTTGAACTCAGGGCCTGGGCACTGCCCCTGAGCTGCTTTTGCTCAAGGCTAGCACTACCACTTGAGCCACTGCACCACTTCCAGCTACTTCTGTGTATGTGGTGCTGAGGACTTGAACCCAGGGCTTCATGCATGCTAGGCAAGCACTCTATCACTATGCCACATTCCTAGCCCCAAGACACCTCTTTTCAAGAAGAGAAGCCCCCACAGCCCAGAGAGACAGGCCGGTGGTGGGTTCCTTACCCGCTCCTTTTCACCATGTTCCAGGCCCAAGGACCCAAATGGCCCCAGTTGAATCCCAGAGCTGGTTGGGTCATTTCCCTGGGTGCACCCTCCAAGGCCACCCTGCCAGCAGAGGTAGCCCACTATAAATGGATCACCATTAAGACCCAGCAAAGCCCTACCGGGAATTTTCTTGGCCCAGCCGATCATGTGCACCAGTTCCTTGTCCGCCAGCTTGGTGAGGGACATCATCATGGAGGCCTCGGTGAAGGGCGTGCTGGGGCGGCTCACCAGCACATGGGGCGGCTCTGCCTCCTGCAGGGTGAGCACCAGCTGCTCCGGGCTCAGGTCGTTCAGCAGCAGCTCCTTCACCCGGACCACGTGCCCACCAGGTTTCTTGGCTTTGCTCAGGACGTGCAGCTGATCGCTGGAACTCCTCTGCCTTCTCACTATGCGGTACCCACACCTTTCTCTCCGGGAGCCTAGAGAGGACAGCAGAGGGTAAGCTGGTGCTTTCCCAGGTAGGATCCCAGCAACCTGAAAAGCCAGGATTAAAAAGAAGAAGAAAAGAGAAAAAGATGTAATGATATCATTGTAGGACCTGAATCTCTCCTCAGAATGTGTCTGAGAGCAGAGACTTCACTCTTTTCTTTGGAACCTGGGAGGCATGGACGGAGGATGACTACAGTTGGACATTATTAACAAACTCAGCACCATAACTTTTAGGTCTCCATTGAAGGTCATCCAGCAATACTAAGTCCAGTGCTGGCATATCTCAGTTTCCAAACTATGAAATGAAGATTTTTTTTTTCCTCAAGTAGAAAATGGGGAAAATAATAACACTTCAACATAGATATCTCTAAATAAGTACCAAATATTAACATCCCAATATTTTTAATGCTTATATACATGTATACATCTTTTCCTTTTTGCATACTTACACAAACAAGTATTTCTCAAATAAACTAACTGAAAAAATCTGGAAAATATAGAAGAGAAGGGATTTTAGCATACATTTAGTCTTCTTAAACTCTTTCATATTTTGTAAGCAAAATTAGAATCATGGTATATATACTATTTCATAACTTGCTTTTTCCCATATTAAAAGTGTCATGAAGCCAGGTGCCAGTGGCTCATGCCTGTAATCCTAGATACTCAGGAGGCTGAGATCTGAAGATCGCAGTTCAAAGCCAGCCTGGGCAGAGAGTCCATGAGACTAATCTCCAATTAACCACCAGAAAACTGGAAGTGGTGCTGTGGCTCAAGTGGTAGAGTGCTAGCCTTAAGCTGAAGAGCTGAGGAACAGCACCCAAGCCCAGAATTCAGCCCACACAACCGGAAAAAAAATGTATTACTTCATTGCAATAATTTAAGGAAATTTTTTTTGTTTTTTTTTTTGGGGGGGGGGGGGGTTGTTCTGTTTTGTTTTTGTCGGTCATGGGGCCTGAACTCTGGGCTTGGGCACTGTCTCTGCACTCTTCAGCTCAAGGCAAGAGCTCTACCACTTGAGCCACAACGCCACTTCCGGTTTTCTAGTGTTTTATTGGAGATATGAGTCTCACAGACTTTTCTACCTAGGCTGACTCTGAACCGTGATCCTCATATCTCAGCCTCCTGAGTAGCTAGGATTATAGGCATGAGCCATCAGCACCCCGCAAGAAATTAAGTTATTGAACCAAGAATACATGTAATTTTTTAATTAATTAATTAATTTATTCCCAGTCATGGGGCCTGAACTCTGGGCATGGGCACTGTGCCTCAGCTCTTCATCTCAAATCTAGTACTCTACCACTTGAGCCACAGTGCCACTTCCAGTTTTTCTGCGTATGTGGTGCTGATGAATCAAACCCAGGACCTCATGCATGCAAGGCAAGCACTCTACCACTGAGCCACCTTCCCAGCCCCTGTAAAAAAAATTTATATACATTAACAGATTAATCTCCAAAAGCATTTTAAATTTCATAATCTAAACAGCTAATTACATAATCTAATAGCTTAAATTCTACCTATTTCTTCATAATACTATTGGGCATTAAAATAATTTTTAATCATTATTAATCTTAAGAGTGACTAAACCATTATCCTACTTTGTATTTTTTAAAGTTAGTAATAAAGTCGACTAATATATATTTTTTTTTATTTCTTTTCCTCCACCTCCTCCTCTTCTTTTTCTTTTTTGCCAGTCCTAGGGCTTGAACTCAGGGCCTGAGTACTGTCCCTGAGCTTCTTTTGCTCAAGGCTATCACTCTACCAATTGAGCCACAGCATCACTTCCAGCTTTTTCTATTTAGTACTGAGGAATCAAACCAAGGGCTTCATGCTTGCTAGGCAAGCACTCTACCACTAAGCCACATTGCTGGCCCTATATTTCTTTGCTTATGAATGAACTATTGTTTATTTTGCCCCCTTTCTCTCTTAAAATTTAAAAAGGCTACTTATAAGTAATGATAGACAACTTTTGTTATATGCAATATTTGTCATGTTATTTATATAACTTTGTTCATGGTATACTTTGTCTTAAAAAGCTTTGAAACTCAATCAAGTGTGTCATATCATTTCACATCTAATTTATACAAACATTTACCTTTTTAAAGAGTTGTGCATTTCAGATCTATTTGGAGTTATATGCACATTTGTATTATGTGATATTGGTATTTCATGTTATATCCAAGTGGATTACAAATTCCCCAATATTATTTACTGAATAAGTTTTTCCCACTGTTCTTAAGTGGTTTGTTGCCTTTTTTTTTTTTTTTGGGGGGGGGGGGGTCAGTTGTGGAGCTTCAACTCAGGGCCTGGATGCTGTCCCTGAGCTCTTTTGCGCAAACCTAGGGCTTACCACTTTGAGCCACTGCACCATTTTCGGTTTTTGACTGGTTACTTGGAGATAAGAGTCTTACAGGGACTTTTCTGCCTGGGCTGGCTTCAAACCACAATCCTTAGAATCTCAGCCTCCTGAGAAGCTGTGAGCCACTGGTGTCCAGCTACTTTATTGCTTTTTTTTTTTTTTTTTTTGGTTGGTTGCAGGGCTTGGACTTAGGAACTAGCATAAGGCTAGTGCTCTACTACTTTGAGCTGTGGCTTCTGGTTTTCTAGTGGTTAATTAGAGATGAATCTCATGAACTTTCCTGCCAGGCTTTGAAGCTCAATCCCCAGCCTCCTGAGTAGTTAAGATTACAGCCATGAGCCAGTGGCACCTGGGTAGTTACTTTTCATGTGCATGCTGGTATTGAGGACTGAACTCAGGACCTGAAGCAGAGTGCCTGCCTAGCAAGTTTGGGGCCTTGAATTCAATCTTCAGCCCTCAGTACTGACAACTTTTTAAAAAGTACTTCTTTGATTACACATTTCTCTTTTGTGTAATGTATAAGGATAAGAAGTTTACAAAATATATTCTTACCCAATGTGAAAGATTTTGCATCCTTGCATTTAAATTTAACCAATTTTTGACAAAATCTAAGTTCAGTAGTGAGTTCTGGGCATGCTAGATTCCTTTTTTTTTTTAATTTCACATGACAGAGTGCTCAGCATCCTTGGCCATAAAGGAAATGCAAATCAGAACAATGCTTGAGATTCCATCTCACCCCAGTTAGATGGGCCAACATCGTGAAATCAAACAAAAACAAATGTTGGCAGGGATGTGGAGAAAAAGGAACCTTACTGTACTGCTGGTGGGAATGTACAACCACTCTGGATAGCAGTTTGGAGGTTCCTCAAAAAAGCTAAATGTAGACCTTCCCTATGACCCAGCCTTACCACTCCTGGGCATCCAACCTGAACATTATGAGCCAAGATATGATAAGGACAACTGCACATCCATGTTCATTGCCACACTATTCACAATAGCCAAGATATGGAAACAACCCAGATGCCCCATAATAAATGAATGGATACAAAAAATGTGGAACCTATACACAATGGAATTTTACACAGCCATTATAAAGAATAAAATAATGTCATTTGCAGGGAAATGGATGGAACTAGAACAAATCATGTTAAGTGAGGTAAGCCAAGCTCAGAAAAGACAAACGGTATATATGCTTTCTCTGATATTTGGGAATTAGATCTAAAATACACTGGGATATGGTAAATTATAGGAGATTCTAGATACTCACAGTGAGACCAAAAGAGGATACTCAAGAGAGAAACACAAAGATGCAATGCCTATATGCCTCTTCATATTAACATAAAATAATATATTGAAACAAATTCTCAGATATGGAAACAAGAAACCTTTCTTTTATTTCTTCTTTTATATCTTTATGTTTTTATTTTTTGATGACTCTGTCTTCTTTTCCTTATGTATGGTGTCTTCAAGTGTATATCTTCTTTTTTTTTTTTTTTGTCAGTTGTGGGGCTTGAACTCTGGGCCTGGGCGCTGTCCCTCAGCTCTTCAGTTGAAGGCGAGCACTCTACCACTTGAGCCACAGTGCCACTTCTCAAGTGTATATCTTCAGAAGGGTTAGAGGAAGGTACAGAACTCAAGGGTGAAAAAGTACAGCAGTGGAGTTCATTGGACACAGATAAAAGTGAACTATACAACTGTGGGGGGAGGGGTGGTGAGTGGAGACAGGAAGGAGGGAATGGGTGAGAATGAGGGAACAGAAGACACTGTACAAAGGAAGTGTACTCATTACCTGACTCGTAATTGTAATCCCTCTACATCACCTCTATAATCACAATAAATTAAATAAAAATATTTCTGGGCAAGGAATTCATTCATTTTTTTTTCTTTTCTTTTCCTTTCTTTTTTTTTTTTTTTTTTGTCTGAGACTGGGACTTTAGCTCACTTGCTCTTTGTCTGAAGCTCTACCACCTGACCTATACCTCCAATCCATTTTTTTTGTTGATCATGGGGCTTGAACTCTGAGCTTGGGCACTATCCTTCAGCTCTTCAGTTCAAGGTGAGCTCTCTACCACTTGAGCCACAGTGCCACTTCTGGTTTTCTAGTGTTTTATTGGAGATAAGAGTCTCACAGACTTTCCTGCCCAGGCTGGCTTTGAACCATGATCCTCAGATCTCAGCCTCCTGAGTAGCTAGGATTACAGGGGTGAGCCACCAGTGCCCGGCTCAATCCATTTTTCTATAAGGACATTTCTAAATATTGTGGCTTTGACATCATCACCTCAGAGGGAGCATCTCTGAGGATCTTGGTTCACAGACAGCCTGAGCAAGAAACTCCATGAAACTCTTATCTCCAATAAGCCACCAGAAAACTGGTAGTGGCACTGTGGCTTAAAGTGATAGAGTGCTAGTCTTAAGTGAAAAAGCTCAAGGACAACACCCAAGCCCTTAGTTCAAGCCCCATGACTGACCAAAAAAAAAAAAGGGATATTGACTTGACTTAATGACAATGATGATGGTGATAAATGATAAAAGTGGCAACTGTCACCTACTGGAACCTTCCGTAGGCCAGGCATATATATAGGACACAGATTATCCCAGGCTGACAAGGGCCTTAGAGACCACTGCATCTGCAACACACAGAGCAGGAACATAAGAGATCTCAGGTATCTTGTCCAAAGTAGGAAGTCTACAAAACATCAGAAGCAGGACCTAAACCCAAGCAGCAGTTTATATCCAGAGCTGGTGCTTTAAATAACTATTGCATTCTACTTACCTATCAAATCCCCTTCATGGAAGTACATACAGCAGGTAAGTAAAGAGATGTCACCAGGAGATGCTGAGCTAATGTCCCAACCCAGGGGTACAGACCACACAGGCAACTATTCCAGTTGTTCTCCTGCCTACTTTGCATAGCAGTACATCCTTATAACGAAGCCTTCGTTCTTCATTCTATCCAGATTTCCTCCATTTAAACAATTAGATTAATACTACAATAGGAAAAAAAATCGGAAGTGCAGAAGAAAAAGACAGTAAGAGAAGAAACATGAGCCATGAATAAAAAGTTAAGTAGATGGTGCAAGTGGATCTAGAATGTAGGTTAGAATTCTGTTCACTGAAGAATAAATGTTGGAACTACAATGTGTTAAGTTGTAACTGACATGACCTGTTCTATGAGGGGAGAGCAAGAGGAAGGAAGGGAAGTTGAAGCAGCAGACACTGTGCCAGGCCTGGGTCATCTGAACACATACAGTCAACATAACATGAAGAAACAAAACAAGATGCCCTCTGTAGGACTCACACTTGCTCTGACAGCCATAACCGAACCAACTCATTCTAGTACAATAAAATGTTCTTATTAGCTACTCAGGAGGCTGAGGTCTGAGAAAGTGCTGTAAAGCCAGCCCAGCAGGAAAGTCTGTGAGACTCTTGTCTCCAATTACTCACCAAAAAGCCAGTAGAACTGTGGCTCAAGTGGTATGGCACTAGTTTTAAGCAAAAAAAAAAGCTCGAGGACAGCACCCAGGCCCTGACTTTAAGCCCCAGTACTGCATACACATGCACACACAAAAGGCTCTTATCTTAAAACAAATTTGAAAGCTTTTTTTTTTGTCAGTTGTGGGGCTCGAACTCTGGGCTTGGGTGCTATCCTGTGCTCTTCAGCTCAAAGCTGGTGCTCTACCACATGAGCCACAGCAACATTCTTGTTTTCTAGTGGTTTATTGGAGATAAAAGTCTCACAGACTTTCCTGCCCGGGCTGGATTTGAACCTTGATCCTCAGATCTCAGCCTCCTGAGTAGCTAGGATTACAGGCATGAGCCACTAGTGCCCAGCTTGAAACAAAACAAAACAAACTACACAAACCTTAAAATATTGTTCAAGTGCTGAGCATAGTGATGCCTACCTACAGTCTCACACTCTGGAGGTTGAAGCAGGTAGATCACAAGTAATCTTCCTCATGAGACCCTGTGTCAAAACCAAAGCGCAAGGCCCTGGGTTTGATAAGGACATTTCCTCACAAAGCAGGGACACCAACCTATATGGCAGCCCTTGTATTCCCAGGCCATGACTGATGGTGGCACTGCTTGGACCATGTAGGTTTGCATCATTAGTAGTTGTTAATGACGGTTTGCATTACAACAAAGGTCTACAAAGCACAGTGATTTATTTGGTCCTAGGTGTCTTCCTAGAACCACTTTGCCGGATCGGATACACTCAAGTCAGGGTCAATTTCAAGGAGAAGTTGGGCCCTGGGGTTTGTAGAGCTGCTACAAAAGTACCGTGTTCCATCCTCTCTTCTATTCATTTTTTCAATTTCTATGCTATGTCTGTTGTTTCTTTCAAGTAAATACTACAAAGTCCTCATGGCAACGTAACAATTATTTATGATAAGTGTCATAGTTTCCTAAGTATTGCTCCCTTCTAGGCATCTAGGTTACAAGCCCTAAAAGTAAAAGAACCATTGTTCTCTACTATATCTGGCACATTTAAGAATCTAGGAACTTGTAGGCATGGATGGGGATGGGGGGAAAGCAAAGGAAAGGGTGACATTGTCCAAAAAGAATTGTACTCATGGGGCTGGGAAGGTGGCTCAGTGGTAGAGTGCTTGCCTTGAATGCATGAAGCCCGGGTTTGATTCCTCAGCACCACATAAGCAGAAAAAAGCCAGAAGTGGTGCTGTGGCTCAAGTGGTAGAGCGCTAGCCTTGAGCTGAAGAGCTGAGAGACAGCTCCTAGGCCCAGAGTTCAGGTCCCACGACCAGCAAAAAAAAAAAAAAGAATTGTACTCCTTACCTGACAATGAAATGGTAACCCCTCTGTTCATAATAAAAATAAAATTGTTTTAAAAAATAGTTTAGGGGGCTGGGAAGGTAGCTCAGCGGTAGAGTGCTTGCCTCGCAAGCATGAGGCCCTGGGTTTGATTCCTCAGCACCACATAAACAGAAATGGCCAGAAGTGGTGCTGTGGCTCAGGTGGTAGAACACTAGCCTTGAGCTGAAGAGCTGAGGGACAGTGCTAGGCCTATAGTTCAAGCCCCACAACTGACCAAGAAAAGAAGTTTAGGATCTACATCTGAAAACCTTTTTTTTTTTTTGTGGGGGGGGGGGAATGCAGAGTGGGGGGGGGGGCAGTCATAGGGCTTAAACTCTGGGCCTGGGCTTGAGCTTTTCAGCTCAAAGAGAGCACTCTACCACTTAAGTCACAGCACCACTTCCAGTTTTCTAGTAGTTAACTGAGGATGAAAGTCTCACAGACTTTCCTGCTCAGGCTGGCTTTAAACTGTGATCCTCAGATCTCAGCCTTCTGAGTTGCTAGGATTACAGGCATGAGCTACCAGTGCCCAAGTTTTTTTTGTTTTTGTTTTTTTTACTAAGATGCCTCCAAATTACCAAGGCCCTGGGTTTGAAAGACATGCCAAGGTGTCAGTCAGGTAATTATCCAACCAAGGGCCACAAGTCCCTGAAGCTGTGTAGTGGCCTCTTCTGCTGCTAAAGTAAAATCTGCCTCCTGTTGTTTGCTTGCACTTACCCAAGCTCTGCCTGCAGCCATGGGAAATAAGTCAGAGCAACACAACAGCATCCACATACTGAAGGCAGTAACCACGCCGTCCATTTCCTGTCATTCCAGCCCGCCAGTCCCCAGCGTCTATCCCTGCCCCACACAGCAGAAAGGATGGGAATGCTCACCACACTTCACCATCCCTACTTCATAGCACTTCCGCAGGCGGCAGGCCTGGCAGCTTTTACGCCGGTTCTTATCTATGGTACATTGATTTGTAGCTGGGCAAATATAATCATTATGGCCTAAAGCAGACAATAAAAACAAACAAAAAATAAGATCATTGTTGCAATACTTCAGTGAAATCTCTTACAGTTCAATAATACTGACAACACTACCCAGGTGAGAGTAGGAAATAGGTACAGGTACAACCAAAGTTATTAAGTTATAAAATATCAAATATTGAAATTATTTTTAATTCACAAAAACTCACATTTGAAGCAATCTATTACCCCCCCCCCATATACCCAACCCACTCTCTCAAACACACACTGAACCTTGGAACTGCTCATTAAGTACAAGTGTCAAATGGGTCATAGTGAAATGTCTATCAGGTCATCTCTGCAAAATTGTTGGAAGGCAGAAGTTGAAAATTAAAGAAGCAGAAAGCAATGGTCCTGTACCTTGAATGCTTCTTTTAAAAAAAGCCTTACATCCTTCACATGACCAGACTCCGTAGTGATACCCAGATGCGTAATCGCTGCACACCGCACAAAAGTGAGCATCCCTCTTTGAGCTTGAACTGGAAACAGGACTGGTGCAGCTGCTCCCACTAACCTTCCTTTTTAGCGTCTCTCTGGAAGCAAAGGAAATGTCCATTGTAAAAGACTTAAACAAGGTGTCAGTGGTTCATGCCTGTAATCCTAGCCACTCAGGAGGCTGAGATCTAAGAATCAGAGTTCTAAGCCAGCCCAGGAAGGAAAGCCTGTGAGATATCTTATCTCCAATAAACTACCCAGAAAAAGCCAGAAGTAGTTCTGTGACTCGAGTGGCAAAGCACTAGCCTTGGAACACAAAGAGGCTTACAGACAGTACCCAGGACTTTAGTTCAAGCCCTAGGACTGGCAAAAAAAAAAACCCAAAACTTAAATGGGAAAGGAAAGGTTAGGAGACTGACTCAAATGGTAGAGCACTTGACTAGCAAGCATGAAAGCAATCCTCAGATCTCAGCCTCCTGAATAGCTCAGATTATAATCTGAGCTATTTCATATATATATATATATATATATATATATATATGGGCATGAGGCACCAGTTTCCAGCTTTGGAATGCTATATTTGAATAGTTTCTCAGTGATCCTTACAAGGTGCTATTTTAGTTCATTATTTTTGAAGGTGTGTGTGTGTGTGTGTGTGTGTGTGTGTGTGTGTGTTTTACCAATTATCTCTTCAGACTTCATTGTTAGTACTTCATTTAAGTTGGAATACTACATAGCTACTTTCATTCTGGAAATAGCTTGTCATGAACACTAAATTGTCATTTCATAATAGCACTCTAAGCTGAAAGTAAACATTTATTTTTCAAACCCAAACGCTTTCATCAAGAGCAAATTGGGAGTTTATTGCATAAAAACAGTAGTCATGATTTTGAACTCTTCCCACAACATCCATTCATAAGCACAACTTGGCAGTAATAGGTTTTAAGGATTGGGTGCGGGGCCTCATGCTGGCTAGGCAGTGCTCTATCACATGAGCCACCCTACCAGTCCCTTTTTGTTTTGAATTGATTATTTTCTGGATGGATCTGGCTTTAAAACTGGCGAGCCTGGGATCTGATCCTCCTACTTGTAATTTCCTCATGTCACCAAAGATGATGGGCATGAACCCATATACCCAGCCAATAGTTGAGAGCCTCACAAAATGTTATGCCCAGGCTGGCCTCAAACCACAATCCTCCAATGTCTGCCTCCCAAGTAGCTAGAACCATAGTCTTGAGCCACCCTGGCCAGCTAGCATAATTTCTTAATAAGAAGGAGAATATCAGAATGGAACAGAGCATCCTGTGTCTTGGATGCTATAAGTATGTAAGTAATCTAGCCGACTAACAAATAAAGACATCATACCATACACATCCTCCTTCTCAATGGCTCATAAAGTGAATTGAACAGTGCTCTTGAATGACGATTCCAAAGGAATACGTACCTGTTTAAAGGTAAGGTGTGCTCTAGTGCTCTTGCTTCACACCAAGGACTCTTCTGAGGCTCTGCATACAGAAGCGACGACTGGCAATGGATCGCCAAAGGAGACAGATGTCCAGGAGCTGACCACAGCACATCTGGGCTTGTGGTCTGTCGACTAGGCCCACCATCCAAGTTATTAGCATTGCCAGGAAGACTGTAGTTCACCAGAGCTGGGCTATAGAATGTCATGGCTGAGTATTCATGGCGGCTCTCTACATAGGAGGAAGGAATATAAAGGGGGCCATGCTCCAGGGGTAGGACAGGCTGACTGCAGTTGAAAGAGGTGGGAGAGTGAAGGCTAGACGGTGAGTTTTTGATATCCATGTCTTGAACAGGTAACAGCTGAGAAAACTCCTTGTGAGAAGAGGCACAAATGGACATTCTAATGGTCTCAGAACCGCATGAGTAGGTGAAGTGCCTATAAAGAAGAAACATCCTGGTAACTTCACTAGCCCTATAGGAATAACTGTTTAAAGAGCTATAGCTGGCCGGGTAGCAGTGGCTCACACCTGTAATTCTAACTACTCAGGAGGCTGAGATCTGAGGATTGCAGTTCAAAGCCAACCCAGGCAGGAAAGGCCCTGAGACTCTTATCTCTAATAAACCACCAGAAAACTGGAAGTGGCGCTGTGGCTCAAGTGGTAGAGTGTTCTCCTTGAGCTGAAGAGTTCAAGGACAGTGCCCAGGCCCCACAACCGACCAAAAAAAAAAAAAAAAAAGGAGCTATACCTGGATGTTGTGGTACATGCCTGTACATGCCTGTAATCTCAGTGCTCAGAAAACTGAGAAAGGAGGATCCTGAGTTTGAGGCCAACCTGGGCTGCTCAGTAAGACCTTGACTGAAAAAAAAAAATAATTTTGTTTTAAATACATGCCCATATTTGTATGGGATGACAAATACATCTGGAAACTTATAGATGAAAATATTAATCCCAGGGCTGGGAAGGTGGCTCAGTGGTAGAGCGCTTGCCTTGCATGCCTGAGGCCATGGGTTCGATTCCTCAGCACTACATAAGCAAAAAGAAAAAAGCCAGAAGTGGCGCTATGGCTCAAGTGGTAGAGCGCTAGCCTTGAATGAAGAGCTGAGGGACAGCACCCAGGCCCAGAGTTCAGGCCCCATGACCGGACCAAAACAAAAAGAAAAGAAAAGAAAATATTTTTTTAATAGCTGAGGTCTTTATTTCAATTTGTATGTACAGTAAAAGTGCTGCTGAGAGTCAGCAGCAAAGAAAAGAAAATACTAACCACCGAGGGGTGGAAGTGTGAGGCATGGGTAGCTCGCTTTCTCTTTCATTCACTTCTTTATTGCTTTGGACAGATAACTGCAAAATTTTTATGCCCAATAATTTATTATAAATATTCTTTAAAGTTGTACTGGGAGGCTGAAACAGGAGGATCATGAGTTTGCTAGAGGCAAGACACTGTCTCAAAAAAACAAACAAACATGCAGGGCATTGGTGGCTCATACCTGTAACCTTAGCTATTCAGGAGGCTGAGATCTGAGGATAGTGGTTCAAAGCCAGCGTAGGCAGGAAAGTCCATGAGACTCTTATCCCCAGTTAAGCACCAGAAAATGAGAAGTGGTGCTGTGTGGCTCAAGTGGTAGAGCACCAGCCTTGATCTGAAGAGCTGAGGAACAGCGCCCAAGCCCAGAGTTCAAGCCTTATGACCGACAAACAAACAAACAACAAGAGCTGGGCACTGGTGGCTCATGCCTGGAATCCTAGCTACTTAAGGAGGCTGAGATCTGACGACTGCAGTTCAAAGCCAGCCCAGGCAGGAAAGTCCGTAGACTCTTATCTCCAATTAGCCACCAGAAAACTGGAAGTGGAGCTGTGGCTCAAAATATCAGAGTGCTAGCCTTAAGCAAAGAAAGCTCAGGGCCAGAACCCAGATGCTGAGTTCAAGCCCCACAATCAACAACAACAACAAAAAAGAAAGAAAGAAAGAAAAAAGGAAGGAAGGAAGGAAGGAAAGAAGGAAGGAAGGAAGGAAGGAAGGAAGGAAGGAAGGAAGGAAGGAAGGAAGGAAGGAAGGAAGGAAGGAAGGAAGGAAGGAAATGAAATCAAAATCTTCAAATTCAAAAATACAGGAATACATTTAAGTGCCAGCAAATTCCTTTTTCTAGACCGTGATAAGCTCAATTGTAAGTTCTTATAAAAAAATAAACAAGAATTGCCAGGTAAACCATAAAAGGAAAGATCAGTGAACAGGGCTAGTATCCATTATAGTCAAATATATTGTAAATCTCTAATAATAAAAAAATTAGAAAATAATTTAAAATTATCACATGAGGCAACTTGATCATTATCAGTTACTTATAAACCAAATTGACTGAATTGAAGGTAACTTGCCACTTATCAATCTATTGCTTCTTGCTTTGCATGCACCTTCACTCTAGGTTCTGTGAATTCCTTCAAAGCTAAAATGACCTCAGTAGCAGGTGCTAGATTGAAAATTCAAATGGTAGGCAAAAATTCAAAACTCTGGTTGGCAAAGTAAAGGTGTGACAACTTATACTGGGCATGGAACTCTCTCCTATAATGATCGTGAACGTCCAAAGGAAACAATCCCATTGGCCTTTGGAAATAGATAACAAAGCTCCATGTGTTTTTGCTCTGGGGATTATGAGTCTTTCTTAGAAAAAGAATTCTTCGTTACTGTTGCAAATGACAGTCACATTCGTTGCTTACTCTGAGAAACTGGGAAGTAAAGGAAATGACTTGAGCTAGAGGCATGGCTCCTCTGTGGAGCAGCAACTCAAGGAGGCTGAGATCTGAGGACCACAAATGAGAAAACAAGGCCCTGAAGCCAAACGCCAGTACTGAAAGAAAAAAAAAATCAGCCCATTCCCTGCCTTTTTGAGGAAATTTCTATTTTATCCCAAGGTCAAAAAAAAACCTCTTCTTCACAAAAGAATGTAAAACTGGTAAGAACCAATGAGTCAAAGTATTACAATTATTGAGTCTAGATAGCAGGAATCGAAATGTAGTGATGCGAATCTTTCAACTGTTGTGTAAATTTGAATTTTTTGGTTAAAAGTATTAAAGAAAAAAAAGCATAAAGTAATACCAGAGCCAATGGCACATACCTGCAGTCCCAGCAATTGAAAGGTAGAGGCAGGAATATCTTGAGTATGTGGTAGCCTGAACTACGTAATAAAACCTTGTCTCAAAATAATAATGATGGGTTGGGAATATGGCTTAGTGGTAGAGTGCTTGCCTAGCATGCATGAAGCCCTGGGTTCAATTCCTCAGTACCACATAAAAAAAAAAAAAAAAAAAAGCTGAGTTCAAGCCCAGGGACTGGCAAAAAACAAAACTAAAAAACAAAATAATAATGATGCCAGGCTTCAGTGGCTTACACCTGTAATCTTAACAACTCCAGAAGCTAAGATCTGAGGATCCTAGCTCGAATCCAATCAGGGCAGGAAAGTCTGAATCTCTTATCTCCAATGAACCACCAAAAAAGCAGAAAGCGGAACTATGGCTAGGGTGATAGAGAGCTAGCCTTGAGCAAAAAAGCTCAAGGACAGCACCCAGGCTCTGAGTTCAAGCCCCAGAACTGGCACACACACTACTCACACACATATACACAAACACATAGTAGTAGTAGTAGTAGTAGTAGTAAGCTGAGCATCAGTGGCTCATGCTCGTAAGGAAACCAAGATGTAAGGACTATGATGGACTATGATTTGAAGCCAGAAAAGTCTGAAGACTTCATCTCCAATAAACCAGCAAAACATTAAATGCCAGCTGTGCTTAACCGAACAGGAAGGCTGAGCAAAAAGCTCAAGGCCCTGGGTTTGACAAAAGCAAACAAAACAACTAGCTCCATCCAATCTGCACTGTTTCCCACCAACCTCTCTAAAAATAACACCACTTCCTTTAAGGCATTCTACTACATTGCCTAAACTCTCATTCATTCTAACCAGCTCTTCCCACGGAAAACCTGCTGTGTCCATAAGAAATAAGCACTTCACTTGCAGTAGCTTTAAATCACTTAGAAACAAAATCCTCTTTATTGAATTAGAGATATACCAAATCCTTCCTGGAAATGGTAGAAGTGGGTAGGAAAGTACGAAGTAAAACTAGAGTTTAAGTTCTCTGAAGGCATATGCAACTCTTCCTTCCTTTTGTGTATGTGCATGTGTGCATGCATGTGCACACACACACACACACCAGTACTGGGGCTTGAACTTTAAGGCCTCACACTGTCACTTGGTTTTTTCTACTCACTGGTGGTGCTCTACCACTTGAGCCATATCTCCACTTCCAGCTTTTTGCTGATTAATTGGAAGGAATTGTCCTTTGAATTTGTCTGCCTGGACTGGCTTCAAAGCAGCCACTGATGCTCGGCTTATATGCAATTTCTTATCCACCTTCCACTACAACTCAAGAAATATTTGTGATAGAGAAAGAATATTAGATATAAGAATAACAGAAAGAATATCAAATATAAGCATAAAATATAAGCTTTGGCAGACGTGGTATGGGGCTGAAGAAAGGGAGGCTCAGGGAAGCCTGCCTTCAGAAAGCTTCTGTGCCCAGCATCCAGACAGGATTGTCTGTCACTGGCACAAGGAAAAATCCAAATTCAAATTCTGAAACACAGCTTCTCCTCTAGAGACCTCATAAAAATGGATTACCCACTATTCATCATTTCATCGCCAGCTTAGCTCACTTAGCTTAAAGTCCTCAAGTTTCACCCATGTCATAGCATCCGAATTACTTTAAAAAAAAAAAAAAAAAAGGCTGAATAAGCCAAACACTTGGTGACTCACATCTGTAATCCTAGCTATTCAGGAGGCTGAGATCCAAGGATTTTGATTCAAAGCCAAACCACGTAGGGAAGTCCGTGAGACTCTTATCTCTATTAAACCTGTCAGAAAGAAAAGCCACAGTGGGGCTGTAACTCAAGTGGTAGAGCATTAGCCCTGAACACAAAAGCTCAGGAACAGAGTCCAAGTCCAGTATTCAAGGATCTACACAGACAGACAGACAGACAGATAGGTAGGTAGATGGATGGATGGATGTTGGTAGCTCACACCCGCAACCCTAGCTACTAAGGAGGCTGAGATCTGAGAATCACAGTTCAAAGACAGCCCGGGCAGGAAAACTCCATGAGACTCTTATTTCCAATAAAGCACTCAGAAAACCGGAAGTGGCACTGTGGCTCAAGCCTTGAGCTGAAGAGATCAGGGACAATGCCCAGGCCCAGATTTCAAGCCCCACAACCAACAAAAATAAATAAATAAGTAAATAAATAGCTCACACCTGTAATCCTAGCTACTCAGGAGGCAGACAAGCCTGAAAGACTCTGTAATTACCCACCAAAAAAGCCAGAAGTGGAGCTGGACTCAAGTGGTAAAACATTAGCTT